TGGATTAAGCTTGTAGATGATAAGATACTAAATGAAAATTAATCATACCCGCTGTCGCATCATTGGGACAGGCTGCCGATTTTGTTGCATAGGACTTGCTCCATGTCTTCCACCCATGTGTTGACCTTGTTGACCTTGTTGCACCACTGGAACAAAGAAGTTTTGCATGGGACCCCTGCCCGGCCTCATTCCGGGCACCAGCTACTAGTGGTAACCGAATCCAACTTGGGGAGGAATTATAGCAGGTAGGGCCTACCCCTAAAATAGTTGCTGCCCCATTCTTGGTCCACCTGGAGGATACATTGGCATACGTGGCGCCATCATTGAAGGTGCCATTGCGACTAGCCTCATTTGTGAGAATTGAGCCTAAAATCAACAAATTACAAATGTTTTAAAAACCAATTAACAAATCATAATTATTTCCTGGTAAATCATTTACCTGAAGCCATGTCCTTCTTTGTTCCGAGCAAGTGCAACATAAAGTGGTTTGCTAGCAATCATTTTCCCATTCATCTCACTAAGCTGTAAATGTAACACAATTAAAAACCTCGTTAATTTTTCGTTAAACTTTTTTAAATAATATAGTCCACAATATATATATTAAATCTTACAGCTCGAGAAGCCTCTTCAGTAGACGAAAAGGCAACAAAACCAGAATCTCTACTGATTCCGCTAGGATCACGCATAACCTAGTAACACAAAACCAAAAAAAGGTTATCTTTTTTTATGATTTTCCCAAAATACCCTTTAATTAATTAACTAATTAATGAAGCTAAATTTAGAAGCTAACCTTGCAGGAAGTGATAGTACCCTACTCAACGAAAATCTGCTTAAGCTTATTTTACAGAAAGGGGTATTACCACAGATGATGCGCAAGCATGCTGCTCGACTAGGTAAAACTTTTTTGAATCAATAGTGTTAAAAATAATATACCAAGGGAATCAAAGTGTAATTTTATATTACTATCAGATGGTTCTTGGAAATTAAACTGTGTGCAGTATGCTGATGGTGTTACATTTCCCAAAAGAAGCAGACAGTTTGTTTGGAGAGCTGGAGGTGAAATGTGCAAGACTGCTTCACATCTTGCTCTTTATGTTGCGACTATTTAGTCCACATAAAACAACTTTGATGTTCGTTATTCGTGATAAAACAAGGGTAAGTTATGTTGTGCAACACGTGTTTTTAAAGAATGAAAAAGTTGGATAGCATTTGATGTAATTATCCTTTTGTTTCTGTATAGACCCCCCTTGAAAACTTAGAACCTGTTCTGAGGGAAGATATCCAGAAGGTAATTATAGTTAATAGTTATTAATTATTTATGGTATTACTCCACAGTTAACACAATTGCAACACTTATAATGCTCTGTTCTTTGTCCCAGATTTGGGATTTTGTCCCTAAGCCAGAAGCCCACAAACAGACTCCATTGAGTGACTTTTTTGTTGTAGAAGTTTTTGCACTTTCTAGTTTTGAAGAGAAAGAAGAACAATTTAAGGAGAAGGTATGATAGAGATGACTTTTTTATAATACAAATTTGATTAAAATCAGTTTTAATTTGATGTGAAATAGGTTGCTTTGGACTGAGTTGATGAGTACATATACACTTAGATGATGCAGGAAACTGGTGATCAGCGCAGTCCATGTAAGTTTCCATAAAAAAATTATAAATTATATTCTTTGAAAAAATTGCTAGATTGGAAGGTTTAAAAGTAGAATGTCCTAATAAGAATTAATTTTCAAAGAAGAATGAAAATGACAAGTGATTTTGTGTTGTGTTTATAGGGTTGATGAAAGTGAATAGCTATGGAGTTAGAAGAGGAAAAGAAAGCTCAAGCTGAAAGAGATAAGATGCTGTAAATGCAAGTGTTGCATTTTTCATTTCAATTGTTAGTATAGAACACAAAGTAGATTAGATGAATGTAAATTTATATATTGTCAGAAATAGAATTGTATGACATTAAATTTTATGCAATGGATTGTATTTTTTGTATACGGTATTTTTTTTGTATTATGAGACATTATAAGCAAATTTAATTTAAAAATTAATAAATATATAATATTTTTTTAACATTTAAATTTACAAAACGGAAGAATGTGTGTCATCTTCATTTATGACATGACCTTTCTTGACCGTTTTTAAAGATACGCATTGCAAGTCATAAATGCGCGTCCTCTATAGACGACGTGCAAAAGCATGCCATCTGTCGTTATGACAGGGCCTTCCTTGATGCGCATTTGCACGTCGTTTAAGCATTTTACGACATGCATTGTGCGTTGTAAAAGGCTCTTTTTCTAGTAGTGCTTATATTTTTAGTTTGCAAAGCCTTTAGATCATCCAAATAAGATTTTTTACTTGTACTCCCCCCTCCCTAAAAACTTGGAAAAACTCGAAAATGAAGGGGTATGAACTCACCTTGAGCGGACTTATGAGTTGTTTGAAGAGATGAGGTGGAGATTGCAAGCCTAAAACACTTGAATGTGTTTGATGAACTCTTTCAAGATTATGTTACCCTAAGGATGTTAACACATAATAATGTGTGTAAATAGGATGAAATTTACATAATGTTGTGCTAAATGACTAGTGGATCATGAAAATACTTACTAAAAACCATAGGACCAATTTAGGGATGATGATCTTGGAAGAACTTGAGTTTGTTTTCTAGAGTTGTTTGGAAAATGAAGATGGTGGAGGTGAGGGATACTCCTCTCAGCCGAGATTTTAAATAGGAAGGATGGATGGGATGTGGATTGGTTGTTTGAGGGGTGTTAGAGTTAAAATTCTAGTAGGATCGATATGTTCTAAACAGTGAATAAAGCAATAAGAACAAGACACATGAATAGCTCAAACAATGTTGAATGATTAAACTTCAACACTCAGAAGAGCTCGATGAAGAACTTCGATTGTAGAGGTGTTTTAGGGTTATAGAACGATAATCAAAGTTGTAACATCCCAAAAACACAATCTGAAAATTTCGTTTAATTTAATACTAAACCATAGTCAATGAACCTCATATAAAAATCATAAGCAATTTATCTCAAAATATTGTAACAACTGTCAAGTATATGAGAGTATAAACATCCCAGGTTGAACAAATTGTGTGTGCACTGCAATCTTCCCGAGCTTCTTTTTTGAAAACTGAGTACCTGAAACCAAAACTGAAAATTGTAAGCACAAAGCTTAGTAAGTCTCCCCAAACTACCACATATCATACAATAACATATAAACACAAATTCGGCCTTGCCCACTGCATCAGACCGAGTCCGGAAACTGCATTAGATCGAAGTCTGGAACTAACCAGAGCCTTTCCCTCTGCATCAGACCGAAGTTTGGAAACTGCATCGGATCGAATTCTGGAACTGACTGGGACCTTGTCCCCTGCATCGGACCGAAGTCTGGAAGTAACTACATCAGACCGAAATCCGGAACTGACTGGGACCTTGTCCCCTACATCGGACCGAAGTCCGAAAGATGACTGAGCATAACATAGTATAACATAAACATATCAACTAGCATAAACACATATACTGCATACTGCATCGGACCGAAGTCCAGAACTTATAACACGAAGACATGCTTGAATCACAAAGCATCAAGCACACTGAACTACTGCATCAAACTAAAGTCTAGAACTACTGCTAACTAGACGGGCCGGCGATGTGGCTATAGACCCGTTCCTACTTGAAGGAAAACTCACCTCACACTGCTAGAGTCCCGCAAACTAAATCCCACACTGCTGAAGTCCTGCAGACTCGACCCGAGTTGCTAGATGATAGATTCCCGATCTGTCAACATCAAAATAACACCCAATTAATAATTGGGTTCCACTACATAACTATAATTACATACTTTGGATAATTACTACATTATCCTAAGCTTGGCTTACCCAAGCCCAAGGTCCAATCCATAGGCCCAAAGTCAACTAGGGATCAAAGCCCAACATATGGCCCAGTTTTCCAAATTAGGCCCAAACTTCTACATGGACTTCCCTTAAGGTCCACTTGTTCAGTCCAGTGCATCATGTCTCATTGTAAGGGCCCAATATCATACAACCCTCTAGGCCCAAACTATGTCTCATCTATGGCCCAATTTTCCAACTTGGACCCAATCCTTCATTAGGGCCTTACCTTAAAGCCCGACTAAATATTCTAGTCCATAATCATTCTTGGATGGCTCAGTATTGACCCAATTACCAATTACCCAATTGAAAAGCCCAACTCAAGGCCCATTTGACATTAGGGTTTCACATAAAATGACAATTAGGGTTAAGTGTTTCTCACTTAACCTATTAAGGGCTTAACCCACTAAGGACTTAATCCATTAATTCCATTATTGCTTAGATTAATTTCTACCAATTATTATTATTTAATATTTCACTTATTAAATAATTCTCGTGTGTGTGTCCGATAATTTCTCAAATATTAGGATTTTCTGAATTAGCCCATTTAGGACTTAGTCCATTAAGTCCTTTATTCTACTAGATAAATGGCATGGAATAGTTTGGACTTAATTCACAATCCAATCCCAATGGCCCAAAAATGGGTCCAATAAGTCCAAGGCCTAAATACTTATAATTAGGGTTTTTCACCCAAACATGGCCCAATAGATCCAAAACTAACCCTTAAGCCCATTAGGGTTTTGCTAATTTCATTAGGGTTTTTTTTACTAGTGTGGCACCACCCACTACCACTTTGGGTAGTGGTGGTAAATGGCAGCTCACGGCGGCAGGCACCACCTTACGGTGGTGGTTACTATTATTTTTTATTATTCAATGCTAATTATAATTACAAAACATTAATAAAAAATCACCACATACTAACTAACACACACACACAGCCAGGTGGTGGCTCGTGGGTGGCAGTGACTCTTCCATGAACTCCGGCTAACCAAAATACCCAAACACGAATAACTAATAGAAATACAATCACACACACCTAAAACAAAACAAACACACACAACCACCTTATGGTGGCCGGTGGCGACAGGTGGTGGCGGTGCTCGCTCTTAATTGCCGGCTAGACAAAACGACCACACTTCACTCGAACTTGAAGCAGCAACGCACTCGCAACCTTGTGAAATACAAGCATGACCGTCCCTTAGGAAACAAAGCAACAACCGGAGTGACATGAGGGCTGCATAGGCGACGAAGGAAAGTCGTGGCTGGAACACGATGGCTACCAGAACGGCAGCATCAGCGACTAGCAGTGGCAGGTGACGATGAGAGTCTGCCATCGACGGTAGCGGCACAACAGTGGTAGTAGTGAACAGTAACAAAAGAGGGTCCTTTGCTCGGCTTCTATTTATGGCAACGCAACAGTCGATGCCACCGGGAAACGATGGAGGTGGCGGCACTAAACGGAAACACCGCTGCTCCTCAGTGCCATAGTGACGGACGTGGGCTGAGGCAGCCACCCAAACGCAAATAGCAACATACCCACGAACGAGATCCTAATCCCTTGAGTCTCTTCGTCTTTCTGGCGGTGGAACTAGGTGGCTGCTCCGGTGGATCTTTGGTGATGGCGGCTGGGAGGAGAAGAGGAAGAGGGTGGCGGATGATTTATCAATTAGGGTTAGGGTTAATATGGCATGAGTTATATATGGAGGCTTCATAAGGGTGGCGGGAGGGAAGGGTGGTATCCGGTCTAAATCCGTGTCCATTCAAACTTCAATCCAAAAATCCAACTTCAGCCCCTCTTCACCATTTTGTTTACAATGTAACTCCAAAAATTACACTTTATCCCTTGCCCTCAGAAATCTTTACAAAGTGGCTCCAAAATTTACACTAAACCCCCAACATTCCAAAATTTACTACAATTAACTCCCAAAACTAACATCCGTTAATTAATATGGATTTAGGGCTCGAACAAAATAATATAAAATATATTTCTCATCCTGGGGTTCATTTATTTATTTAGTTTATTTATTATAAAATAATCAGGGTATTACAACTCTCCTCCGCTTAAATTAAATTTCATCCTCGAAATCATTCCTTACGCGCCCAACTACTCAAGTAACATGGTCACCATCCTGAGCACACCCTAGGCTTCCCAGGGTAGTCGTGACCAATCTTCGTAAAGCCCTCAAATCCTTAGGTGAACGAATACCTCGCAACAAGAATACATGTACTCTGTCTGAAATTTGTTGTCTCTAAATGATCTGAATCCCTAATAGACCAGTCAAGCTGAATCATTATAGATGAATCCACTCTACTTATCTCTCAACTACCCACTCCTCTCCAGAAATCTCAAGGCTCCCACTAGAAAAGCAAAATCACATAATCATTTATCCCTATGATTCACTTATACTTGGCCAAAACTCAGATAGTCTTGTTGTAAGTGACTTAGCATATCCCAAGATATTTGTGACTCTAACCACAAATGAAAACCCCAAATACCATTACCGTTTAAGTCACTGACTGTCTGAAGCATTGAAATTTATGAAACATAGAATTACCTGAAACACTGAACTACCTGAAATAGCATGATGCTACATGGCTGCTTTCCAACATCTATCGAGACCTTCTTCGTCTCAACTTATTCGCCAATCATCTAAAGTACCTGGTTCCAGCTCGACGATGGAGCCAAAGGACTCCCTACTTAGTCACCTAACATGAATTCTGAACGAAATCCTTCTCTGGAACGATTTGCCACTAGTTGCCATGCCACTGAGGCTCTAATAACTTTCTCAATCTAAGTGATCGAGTCCACGCGTCGAATCCTGACATCACCAAACCCAAGGTTAAAAGTGATTGCTACATGACCATTAGTAGCCTTATGTCATGAATGACCATAAGCAGTCCACAGCTCCCTTGCTCGCATAGTTGTAGTGGCGCTTCTATAGTCTCATCACTGGCTTAACCAGGTCTAATCTTGCTAGGTAATTCCAAAATCCAATATGTGGGTTTCGATATCCTCACTGCTACACCCGAACTTCTGGGTACTACTGTTCTATCCGCGTCCTAACAACGCACTCACGCCATTTACTAATCTAGTGGATGCTACGGCTACACCCGCAAACTTACAACACTCTAATACTATCTGGATGCTAATGAATGCTATGGCTACACCCACAGACTTACAACACTTTCTCACACTATCTCATTTGCTGATTACTAATCTAAACACATCCGGTGTCGAGCATACACATGACCTAACATCCAAAATTGAACCCATAACCTGACTGGAATCCCTAACCTGATTCCCTAAGGCTTGCTAGCAAACATTACGGGAAAATGATCTCCTTATTGGCAAGTTTTTCTGAACTTCCATCTCACACTATTCTCAAACCATACAATCGCTTAGGATGTCTTCCTTCCAAACAAGGATGCGAAACTTATCCCAGTTTCAAATTGTTCCTACTTCTGAAATCTTGGATGATTCTCCCCGACCTTGCTTCAACTAACGTCTTTCGGCACACAATACTGGAAGGATGTTCAATCCCTCTTACCATTCTATGCCCAATCAACTAAAAACTACATTTTGCATTGCTAGTGTTTCAACACTAGCCAGTCCAAAAGATCACACCACCTTCAAGAACCCGAATAAATCTCCTGGTAATAACCTGCTAGACCCAAGAAGCTCCGATTCTCAATTGGAGACCTCAGAATCTCCCACTACATCACGACCTCTATTTTGGCTGGAATGACTAGAAAACCCTTCTGATTGACAATGTGCCTAAGAAATTGCACCTCGTGCAAGCCAGAACTCACATTTGGAGTACCTTGCAAAAAGTCTCTCCCTCCTTAAAGTCTCTAGCACTTCCCTCAGGTGTTTCTCATGCTGCTCCTCAGTCTTGGAGTAACCCAAGATGACGTTATACTCTCCCAATCTAGTGATTTGGTATATAATCTTTTGCTATCCACTAAAAATTCTCGGTATGCAATTAGCATATACCATGTTATGGAAGTATAATTCAAACACAAACATATGATAACCCAAAATCACACTTACTCAAACCCCTGGAACAAAAGACTCTATCGTGCAGTTTCCCGCATGTATTGTACTGAATATAACCCTACTTGTCTCTCAAAATCCAATCCAAAATCTAGGGTCTCCTCCCAAGACCCCTCAATAACTTCTGGTATTAAATGTGTTAGTGATATCTGCCAACCATCTGCTGCTATTAATGTCGTTGCTAATCCCCATGACAATCTGAAGCCTCACAAACTCTGAATTCCCGAAACATCAACGTACGGGTCTCTATCATGACTATTATCTCAGTGCATAACGCACTCGGCCTCTCAACACCAATCTCTATAATGCCCTCCTTGATCACACTGAGGATTACAGGAGTCTGGTCAATGATACTGCGCATAATTCTCAGATGGAATGATCTCCCTCATATGATCATCAATCTACTCGGCTCCAGAGTCCGAGTCTGATCCATCGTCGACACCAGAACTACCATCTGGTCTACCACGTGGAGTCACTATATCGGTAATACACCATCGCTAACATCACAATAATTATCAAAACTCGAGGGATCTCAAACACTACAAGTTCCTGATGGGTTTTGAGCATTCTAACACTTCCTAAGTGTACATGCAACCCTAATAACCTTGGATCTATGTTTGTCTAAATATCATGCAAAGTTGAATTCCAAGGTTATATTCCTATCTAGCATACATGGGGAACAATTTTTAATTTGAAAGAAAGATAGAATAACATACCTTATTGTTGCTTATGATCCATGATACCTTGTGAGCCTAGCACCCCAAATGTGATGCCTCAAAGGCTTCACACAACTCCAAATGCTTTTGGAATGACTTTAGAGAGAATACACACTTCGAAAATCGGCCTAGCCCTCTTGTTTGTTATGTGTGGTCAATTTTGGTGGAGAATATGTTCTTTATATAGTGTTGACACATCTAGGGTCACACCATGTAAACCCTAATGTGTCATGACTCTTCATTTCCATGAACCATGGGTTTGTAACTCCCATGGAGCATCCTATGGATGGAACCCAACTTGATAATGCATGGTGCCTCTTAGCCCACTATACAAGTTATAGATAATTTACATAATCAACTCATATATCTAATTAGTTATCTTTTGATCACTTAATTAATTCTAAATTAATTATTGATCAAACTAATTAAATAATATTATTAATATATTAGAACTTATAATATATTAATAAACCACAAATGTTATTTCTCTTATTTAGTCTATCTAATTTCTTGGTGCCATGCAACCCAAATGGACCATGCTGGGTCAGGTCAAGTACATACCAGAAATAGTTATGGACTTAGACACCTTATCCAACAGTCTCCCACTTGGATAAGTCTAATAACTATCACTGTAATATTTTAGGAATCGAACGGCAATCGTAGCTCTTACAAGGTCTCTGGGAACTGAGAAGATGATGATACACCATTTAAGATAAGTGATCATATAATTATCTGTTCGAGATATCAGCCGGACAAATACATGGAACAATGTCTTACTTATTGTCCAACAGTTTGTTTCCGATTTCCGATTTGTTTAACAAAGAACTTAATTGAACACATCAACTTAGTTCTGATCGGGCCCGGTACATAGGTCAAAACAAAATCATCAAGGGGCCCAGATATCAACTTCTAATCCAAGAAGGAACAGATAAACTTCGACTCATATGTTTGTTCTACCACTCATTAAATTATACACAAGAGCACGTTTTATAACATCGAGTTACCAATGCGTTTTCTTACAATCAATGCATAACCAACTCATAAGTAATAAATCATATATGTAGGTTTGAAGACTTATATGATATTACCGTCTCATGATCACTCGAGATAAATTCCATGAAGTGATTCCAGTGAGCGTGGGTTGAGTCCAATGCTCAGAACTTATGAGCACTCATGATTGTTGTAGCCATGTCCAACACGTTAGACCTCTGCAACCAATCATGATAGTCTTGATTCAGACCTACTTCTGACATATGACCGACTGTGAAAGTTCGAATAATATGATATACCAAACATAATTATTCTGTAAGTCAAAACATGCAAAAGAAATATAGTAAACGATTGGTAGGAGATAGGAAGACTTTACTCATAAATAAAACACCTTTTATTCATCATCTATTGTCAACTACACTTTACAAATTTCAAGGTTATCTAACTACTAAATCTAATATCATCCTATAGCCCTATGCTCCAAGCATGCTGGAGATGCTTAACCCGAGTCAGTCCCTTCGTAAGGGGATCTGCTAGATTCTCATCCGATGATACCCTCTTTGCCAAGAGGAGTCCTTTTTCTATTCGATGTCTGATGAAATGGTATTTTCTGTTGATGTGTCTGGATCTCCCATGATCCCTTGGTTCCTTGGCTAAGGCAATAACACTTTCACTATCACAGAAAATTTCCATTTGCTCCTTAATAGCTAGTACAACTCCAAGGTCTCCAATGAAGTTCTTCAGTCATATCGCCTCCTTTGCTGCCTCGCTAGATACTATATACTCTGATTCGCAAGTTGAATCAGCACTGTCTCTTGCATGGAACTCTTCCAAGAAATTGCTCCTCTATTTAGGGTAAAGAACCAGCCTGACTGATAGCGGAAATTATCCCTATCAGTCTGAAAGCTAGCATCACTATACCCTACAACTCTCAAGTCTGCACTCCCTCCGAGGGTAAGAACCCAGTCCTTAGTCCTCCGTAGGTACGTGATGATGTTCTTTACTGCAGTCCAGTATGCCTTGCTAGGGTTCCCCTAATACCTGCTAACCATGCTCAAGGGAAAGGCTACATCAGGTTGAGTACACGTCATAGCATACATGATCGATCCTACAGCCGAATTATAAGGTATTCGACTCATTTTTGCTATCTTAGCCTTAGTACTAGGGCATTATGTCTTACTTAATCTGGCATTACTATTGATGGGTAACTCTCCTTTCTTGGAGTCCTGCATGCTGAGTCTCTTCAGCACCTTATCCAGGTAGGTACTCTGACTAAGTCTAATTAGTATTGTACTCCGGTCTCTCAAGATCCTTACCCTAGAATATAGGCAGCTTCTTCCAGGTCCTTCATAGAGAAACACTTCCCAAGCTAGGACTTAACTTCCTGCAGAGTTGGGATGGCATTTCCTATGAGTAGCATGTCATCCACATACAATACCAAAAAGCTACTATACTCCCACTAGCTTTGACATACACACAAGATTCATCTTCACTCCTAGAAAATCCAAACTATTTGACTTTCTCATCAAAGCAAAGATTCCATCTACGAGGTGCTTGCTTTAACCCATAAATGGATTTCTCAAGCTTACACACTCTATTAGGGTACTTTGTATTGCCAAAACCCTCTGGCTGACTCATGTAAACATCCTCATCCAAATTTCCATTAAGGAAAGCGATTTTGACATCCATTTGCCATATTTCATCGTCATGAAATGTGGCTATGGCTAACAAAACCCTAATAGACTTAATCTTGGCCACTGGAGAAAAGGTCTCATCATAATCAACTCCCAGAGTTTGTGAGAAACCCTTTGCAACCAGTCGTGCCTTATAAGTGTGTACATTACCATCCATGTTTGTCTTATTCTTGAAGATCCACTTGCACCCTACAGTCTTACAACTTGGTACATTCTCAACCAAGTTCCAAACATGATTATCATACGTGGACTGTATCTCGCTGTCCATTGCTATTTTCCACTTGAATGACTCAGGGCCTGCCATGGCTTCCGCGTAACTGTTAGGTTCATCCAGACCTATCATCATCTCATCACTGATAAGTGTATCACCCTCCGCAGTAATATGGAATCCATAGTAATGCTCAGGTGCATTCCTAATGCTTGTGGAACGCCTTAAAGGTAAAGACTTGCCAATTGGCTCAACAGGAGTTTCCTCCTCAAGTTGAGTGCTAAGGTTTGAAGTTCCTTCATCGCTTGACTCTTGAATTTCTTCAAGGTCAACTTTCCTCCCACTGTTACCTTGGCTTATGAACTCTCTCTATCTCTCTCTCTCTCTCTCTCTCTCTCTCTCTCTCTCTCGAAAGAATGCCCTCCTAGCTACAAAGACCACATTTTCACTAGGTTTGTAGAAGAGGTAACCAAAGGATTGTTATGGGTAGCCGATGAAAGTACACCTCTCGCTTCGAGGTTCGAGCTTATCATGAGTCTCGTGTCTCACGAAAGTCTTGCAACCCCAAATGTTGATGTGGTCTAGTTTGGGTACTTTACCAGTCCACATCTCATGAGGAGTTTTGGTAACTTTCTTCGAAGGGACCAGATTAAGGATATGGGCGGTAATATCTAAGGCATACCGCCAAAATGAGATTGGTAGCGAAGCTCGACTCATCATGGAACAAACCATGTCCAACAAGGTTCGATTACGCCTCTCAGCCACACCATTCAACTACGGTGTCCTGGGAGGTGTCAACTATTAGACAATCCCACATTCCCTAAGATAGTTGAGGAACTCTAAACTAAGATACTCACCACCTCGATTGGATAGAAGCATCTTAATGTTC